CCCCCCGGGGGGTGATTTCTTACTTTCTGTCTCTTTGTCTCTCTCTTTCTTTCTGGCTAGCACACACGCCCTATAGCAAAAACCTCTCCAAAAAATAAAGAGTTGGACTAGATGGTGGCAAAGCAGTAAAATGCCATCTTCAAGGCTGATCCACATGTTAAGGTTCTGAGAGTGTTGTCTGGAGGGAGATCTTCCTGACTATTCATACTTGTGCACCTTATGATTCAGAGTTGGCTGAAGCTAGGGGTGGATTGTTGCATCAAGACTGTGCGGGGTGCTGTTTCTCTGTCTCCTTTGCCCATGGAAGAAGTCAATACATACTGTTAAAAAAAAAAAAGTTAAGAAACATGGAAATAAGAATGATAAAAATGAAAAGTTATAGTGAGAAAGTCTAATAAATTGGAGTTTCAGAATGAAAAGAAATAGAAAATGGGAAAAAGCAATATTTAGAATGATGAGAAGTTTTCAGTACTGTGGAAAAACATTAATGTACACATTCAAGAATCTCGGTAAATTTTAAGCAAGAGAAAGATGCAGATTAAGGAATTAGGCATATACTGAGAGAGAATGAAGGAACTGGAGTATCAGAAGTCATTTAGGATATAGGTCAAAGAGATATAATGAGGGACCAGCAGTTAGCATAATGGCTATGTCGCTGGACTCCACGTAGTTGACTGCAGTTCGCGTCCTGGACCCGGTAGCTTAAAAAACTCACACAGGGCGCGTGTGCATGGGTGCCCAGGATCCCGAGAGGAGAATGGGGGAGAAGGGATTGTGGTGTGGCCATCCCCCCTGGGGGTGATTTCTTGCTTTCTGTCTGTCTCTGTCTGGTGAGCGCACGTGCCCTATAGCAAAAACCTCTCCAAAAATAAAAGATATAATGAAATGAACAAAGACAGAAAATATTAAGAGTAATCTAGACAAAAATATGTTTTAAATAATTTATTTTTTTAATTCGATATGAGAGAGAGAGAAGGAGGAGGGGAAAATGAGGAAGCAAGCCATCAGGTCTGGAACTTGAACCATGGACGGTCATGTGGGAGTCCAGTACCCTTAACCACCACAGCACTTGCTGGCCCCAAGACAAATTTTCTTCAAAGGAACAGTGATTAAGCTGGACATCTGACTTCTTTATTGCAATGATGGGACAGAAGACAGTAGTGTTTGATATTTTTGTTTTGAAGAAGATAGCTTATAATTTATTAATGGAATTCCGTAACCAGGGGAAATATCTTTTAAGAAAGAGTAATGCAATGATCATCAGTGTCTGCTAACATAATTGAAATAGTAATTGAAAAAGACAATTGGACGGTACATACCTGTAACCTATGGCATAGTCTTAACAAAAGACAAACCTAAAAACTTGAATCAGATTAAGTTATAGCTCTAAAATCATTTTACATAAAGATGACATCATGGGGATGTGGCCAGCAAGTCCAACAGATAAAACTCTGTTGGGGAAAAGACCTAGTTTCAATATTTGCCTTGAAACCTATAGATTAAAAGAGACTTAAAAAGATATTTAAACCTATTTCACCTCAAACAAATGAGCTATGAAAATAAATTCTAGGAAAACTAAGGAAGTATGAATAATAATAATCTGAAGAAATTATTGGTCTTATTAAAGTGTGACAATGGTACTGTCATGAAAAGGGAGAGGCTTCATCTTTTAAGAGATAGTACTTAGATATTTACATGATATCATAATTTTTTTCAAAGTCATCTTGAATGGGAATATGTAAAACACTGACTATGAGTTGAAAATAATTGAAGCTAAGTGATGTATCCATGTAGGTTTATTTTATACTTTATGTACTTTGTATATATTTAACATTTTCTGTAAGAACAGAACAAATTAAGGGACATTGTAAAACCAGCAACAGCTGAGGGTTTTTTACCAATATATTGTCACTAAAGTACATGATGAAGTATGGGCGAAAAGAATGGGATTTCACATAATGGTCTGAGATGTGAGAAGGTATAAAGTGGAAGGAGTAAGTAAATGAAGTAGAAAGTAAGTGGTGAATATGTGTGTACGTATAAATGAACACCAACTTTACAAAAGAATAACAATGTTTTGGGGGATTGAAAAAAGATAGAATTAAAATATGTGCATTGACTTCATTCCTAAGTCAAACATGGGTTAATGTGTAAATGAGTTGTAAGTCTTTAGTTGCCTTTTTATTATACAAGAAGAGAATAAAAGTATTAACTTTAGATTTTGACATGTTAAGTGTGCATATTAAAATAGAGGAAAACATTGAGTAAATTACTTTATGGCCTAGATGTTGGGAAAGCTTTACTATGATTCAACTCAGAAGCAAAAAGGATAAACATAGATAAGTATGATTTCATATGTTTGTTTATTTGTATATATGCCTAGTTTGTTATTGCATTGCTAACAGAAATAATACAGACTGAGTGATTTACAAAGAAATAGAGTTTTATTGACTCATGAGTCTATTGGCTGGAAAGTCCAAAGGCATAGGACTGACATCAGGCCAGCCTATAGCATGGCCAGAAGCAGAGAGACTGATGAACTCTGCCTGCATCTCTCTTTTATAACACTAATTATAACAAATAATTAAAAGAAATAACCCTTCTCACAAAAGCTAGAACTCACTGAGTTCATGAGACTTTATTAATTTGTTCATGAAGAGTATTGCCTCCATGAAACAACCACTGCCTACTAGGCCTTACCTCTCAAACTCCATCTCACCAAATTCAAAACCATAAACTTTTAGGGAACAAATTATTGTCAATATCGTAATGTATTCTCACTGTGTGTGTATACACACACACACAGAAACACACTTGTTTACACACATACACTTTTGCATAGCAGAAAACACTATAATCAAACTAAAGAGACAGATTAGGGCTGGCTCCATAGTGCAGTGGTTAAACCCTCTGCATGGGAGCCAGATCCCACATGGCTGACTGCAAACCAAATCCTGGCCCTGACAGCTGGAAAAACACACCGGGCATCTGTGTGTGTGCACGCCCCATATCCTATAGGATAGAGAAATGGATTAAAAAGGATTTCTTGGGAACCAGCAGTTAACGTAATGGCTATGTCACTGGACTCCCACGTAGTCGACCGCAGTTAGCGTCCCGGACCCGGTGGCTTAAAACTCACGCTGGGCGCGTGTGCGTGCATGCCCAAGATCCTGAGAGGAGAACGGAGGAGAAGGGATTGAGGCGTGACCATCCCCCCGGGGAATGATTTCTCGCTTTCTGTCTCTATGTTTCTCTCTGTCTGTCTGGTGAGTGCACGTGCCCTATAGCGAAAACCTCTCAAAAAAAAAAATTAAATAAATAAAAGGATTTCTCATTTGGAAATGTGTTCTTTCCTCATCTCTCTCTCTGTTGAGCACACAGGTCCTCTGGCTCTCCTTCCTCCTCCCCCCCCCCAAAAAAAAAAGAAATGGGGCAAATGATAAATTGAAAGAATATTTGCCACTGATATCATGGACAGTGTGTTGATCTTTAAAATATATAAAGCAGGGATTCCCAACCCTCAGACTCCAGACCAATGTCAGTCTCCTCCCCAAGGGCCACACCAAGTGAGTGAGCCAGGCTTTACTGTGTTTGCAGCTGCTTCCCATTGTTCACTTTGTTGCCTAGGCTCTGCCTCCTGTTGGGTCTTTGGGAGATTGGATTCTCATGGGAGTGCGAATCCAATATGCCATTGTTTCATTGTATATTGCAATGTGGTAGTGGTGGAAGTGGGGTGCAGATGGATGTTGTGCACTTAAGTCATCCTGGCACCAACACTCCCACCCCTCACTCAAGCCTCCCGTCTGTGGAGGGATTGTCTTCCAAGGGGCTGTTCCCTATTGCCCAGAAGGTTGGGGACCACTGATTTAAAGAACTTCTACATTGGAGAAGAAAAATACTAGCCATTTTATAAAAAGTTGGGTAAGAGACAACAGAGAATTCATAAAAACAAAAAAAGATTAGCTTTATATGAAATGATATCCAACCTCCCTTACAATAAGATAAAATAAGATATGATTTCTTTCTTATAACATTGAAAAACTCCAGCATTTGACAACATATTTTGTTGGTGCCAGAAATGGGTACTCTTGGGGACGAGCAGTTAGCGTAATGGCTATGTCTCTGGACTCCCATGTAGTCAACCGTGGTTCAAGTGCTGGACTCGGTGGCTTAAACTCACACCGGGCGCTTTTGCGTGTGTGCCCAAGATCCCAAGAAGAGAAAGGAGGAGAAGGGATTGTGGCATGACCATCCCCCCTGGGGAGATAACTTCTTGCTTTTTGTCCCTCTGTCTCTCTCTCTGTCGTTGGTGAGCCCACGCACTCTATAGCAAAAACCTCTCCAAAAAAAAAAAAAAAAAGAAATAGGTACTCTTGTACACTGGAAATGTGAAATATGGTATAACTTCAAAAATTTAGATATACAAGCAAAATTACACATGTGTATTTTGACCCAATAGTTCTCTCTAGAAATCTTTCAAATATGTGCTAAGATATATACGTATGTGAAAAGCTATTTGGCACTAATTCTAATAGCAGAAGATGAAACTAATCCAAATTTTGAGCTTAATTTCACTGAAACAACTATAAAAAATTGGTATCATAGGGTAAATTTGAACATTGAGTAGTTAGTTGATACTAAGTTTTAAATTATTTAGTAATGATAATGCTATTATGGTTATATCCAAAGAGGACCTTTTAGAAATATTTGATATGTTATAATCCATTACCAGTACTCTTTGAACATTCAAAGTAGTCCGTCTTCAGACAGTATGAGCCCCTTGAAGTTAACTCCATGGCCTCTGCTCCATCTTTTAGAGATTATTACTTAAACTATTATGGATAAGGTTATGTTACTGGAATTTATTTTAAGATAATCCAAAGGCCAGGGTAAGTAGGGAGGGTATAGAGATGAAGTAAGATTTGCCATGAGTTGGCAATTGTTTATTCTGAGTTATTGGGGTTTCATTATATTATTTTATCTTTTGCATATGTTTACAGTTTCCCATAGAAAATGTATGGAGTTTAAATAGGAATAAATGCAACAATCCATTTGTATTTGGAAAAAAGATATGGAGACCCAGGTTGGAAATTGGACATGAAGTACTTACACAATTTCATGTACTTGGTAAATATAATTATTTGCTCTATCTTATTTGTAGTGTCTTTTGTGTGTGTGACCAGTGTTTAAGGAACACTTTCTGCTAATATAATTCTAAGGATTAAGATAACTAGAAGTTTTCATTTGTTTATTAATTGACCTGCATTAGAGGACTTTTAGACTGCCAAAAAACTGAAAAAAGAGTGAATTTTTTCTTAAACTTTTTACTAGTGCCATATTTTCTTTCAGGTTTTGCCTGGATTTACATTTAGGTATATCAGATGAAATAGAAAACTGAGAGAGGGATTTGTTTTCTTCCTTCTTCCTTCCTTCCTCCCTTCCTCCATCCCTCCCTCCCTCTCTCTCTCTTTCTTTCAAAAGGTTTTCACCATATGGTGCGTGCTCTCACTGGAGAAAGAGAGAGACAGTGAGAGGGGAAGTAAGAAATCATCCCTCAAGAGGGGATGGCCACATTGCAGTCCTTTCTCCTCCATTCTCCTTGTGGTATTTTGGGCATGCATGCACATGTATCTGGCATTATTTTTTAGGCCACTGGATCTGAGACTAGAACCACAATCGGTCATATGTCCAGCGCCTCAACCGCTATGCAACCTGTTGGCCTCTCTTATTTTTATTTTTGATATTGGGTACATGCACTTGCCAGGAGGTGGAGGTGAAGAGATAGCACTCCCCAGGGGGATGGCCACGCTGCAATCCCTTTTCCGCCATTCACTCAGTGTTTTGGGCACGCATGCATACATACCTGGCATTTTCAAGCTACCAGATCCAGTACTTGAACCAGAGTCTGCCATGTGGGATCCAGTTCCTTAACTACCATGCCACCTGATGACCTACATTTAGAATTTTTTTTTTAAGGTTTTTGCCATAGGGTGCATGTGCTTGCGGGGGGTGGGGGGTAGAAATCACCCTCTCCCCAGGGAGGTATGGCCATGCTGCAGTCCCTTTTCTTCCATTCTCCTCTTGGGATTTTGGGCACACACACACATGTTCTCAGTGTGATTTTTGAAGCTGCCCAGTCCACAACTCAAACTGGTGATGTGAGAGTTCAGCGCCTTAGCCCCTATGCCACCTGCTGGTCCCTATTTAATAATTTTTAAGCATGACATTTTAATAACTTAGAAGGATCTAGGTTATACAAAATTACATATAGGAACAAACTTTTATTTTCCTCTTAAGTATTTTCGCTTCAGACTCTATGTTTTAGAAAGATAGATAATATGATTTCTTTAGTGACATCTAATGGCAGTAAGCACTATTAATTTAACTAGTTTTCTGTTCTTTCAACAGATTAATGTTAAAATTGAAAGTTTTTATCTTTTGCTGGATATTGGAAATTAAATGTAATGGCAACAGAATATATAAAGAGTTGCTGTAGAGGATGTTTCTATGGTGAAACAGAAAAGCACAACTGTGAGTTTTGTTTTGACTTCAAGAAATATTTATTTAGTGCCGTCTTCATTTGTGGCATTTTGTAATATGAGGATAAATTAGGCATGTTTCTTATCTTCATGGAGGAAGTGGAAATGTTAATCGAATATTACAGAACTTCACTTATCCTGAAACTTAGGGGAAATAGAGATAGATTCAACCCGAGAGACACCTGAGACGTCACCATCCAGAAGATGGTGTTTGCCCTAGAAGTTGAAATGGGAATTTAGCAAACTGGGTGGAAAGGAAATAAGAAAAAGGTGAGAGTTAGTCATGGGTATTACAGGTAAATGGAATAGTATAAGCAAAGAAAGACAGGAAGAGAAGAAAAGTGTTTTGAGGAGGCAACATACTCTGACAAATGTTTCGTTTTAAATAAAGACAATTTCAAACTTATGTACAGTATATTAAAATGTCTTTGATGAATGAATGACCAATGAGGGAGAGACTCATAACTTTATTAAGACCCACATTATCAGAAGTTTCCCTTTAAAAGAAGTTTTCTTTTTCTTTTCTTTTTTTTTTTTTAATGATCCTCATGCCACATTCCTCTCCCAGCCTTATCCAGCCAGGATCATGGTCACTCATGTGAGGGTCGGGCGTGTAATGGGAGACCTCAGGACACAAACCCGAGACCATCTTATATGGCCATCTTATTTCATTTCTGTTGTACTACGGCAGCTGGCTGAGATATTTCTCTCTCTCTTGTTAAGTTAAATTTATTAATTTGCTATAGGGCATGAATGCTTATCAGAGAGAGAAAGAGAAGAGAGAGAAAGCTGCTAGGTCTGGGACCTGAATCACAGTTGCTACATCCTCATCTTAAGTCATGCAGCTTAGAAATTATAGTTTTAGGGAATGGATAAAATGATTAATAGGAACTAGGCAGGGTGGGTTGCTATTATGATTATGTAGGGCCAGTGTGCCTTTTACTTTGTGATTTGGTGGAGGGTTTTGTAGACTTGAAGACCTTAGTATCCGGTCAAAACTTGCTTTACGTATTTAAGACAGTACTGACTAAAGAATTTCTTGGTTGACCTTTTTTTTTTTATTTTTAAGAGATTTTTGCACATGCACTAGCTAGAGAGACAGAGAGAGACAGAAAGCAAGATATCAGCCCCTCCCCCCAAGTAGGGATAACCATGCTGCAGTCCCTTCTCCTTCATTCTCCTCTTGGGATTTTGGGCATGTATGCACATGTGGGAGTTTTAAGCCACCGGATACGGTTAACTACATGTGAGTCCAGCAACGTAATCATTATGCCATCTGCTGTTCCCTGCTTTGTTGACATTTTTAAACAACTAGATTTTACTTGAAACCATCATTAAATTAACTACAAAATAAATTTATTTTTAAATTCTAAACTCTTGTGAAAATGACACACCTTAAAAACAGTTTTTACAATTATAAAAAGTTCATGTACTTTGCAGTAGTATATTAATTGCTCAGCCATTGGCCAGATAAAATTAATGTAGATTTCAGAAGTACTTGATAGGGCCAAGAGTAGTTTATGTAAAGGAGTAAGTACAAAAAATGATAAATTTAGATTATGGTTTGTAATCTATGAGCATATTTGTGACTTTATCTTCTTTCTTCTTTTATGTGCAGTTTCTGTGGAAAAAGACTTTAAAGCAGCAGTCTCAAATAGTCGAAATGCTGCTATCTGTATACCTCCATTGACTTCTGTTTCTGTAAAGCCTCAGGTTGGCTGTACTGAGGATTATTTGCTTTCCAAATTACCTTCTGATGGTAAAGAAGTACCATTTGTGGTGCCCAAGTTTAAGTTATCTTATATTCAGCCCAGGACACAAGGAACTCCTTCACATCTGGGAGAACTTGAAGGTAAACAATAAAATGGCAGGATTTAAAAATCAACATGCAGGATTTAAATATTACTCTTGTTGTTATTATGCTCTTTTATGTTTTTTTTTTCCTTTTTTTCTTTTGGAGAGGTTTTTGCTATAGGGCGCGTGTGCTCGCCAGACAGACAGAGAGAGACATAGAGACAGAAAGAGAGAAATCACTCCCCAGGGGGGATGGTCACGCTGCAGTCCCTTCTCCTCCATTCTCCTCTTGGAATCTTGGGCACGCATGCACACACGCCTGGCACGAGTTTTAAGCCACCGGGTCCGGGATGCGAACCGTGGTTGACTACGTGGGAGTCCAGCGACATAGCCATTACGCTAACTGCTGGTTCCCTCTTTTATGTATTTAATACAAGTTTATATAAACATGTTATATTTTGTATTTTGCTTTTTTCTATGTATGTTTTACCCTAGAGGAACTTAATGTACAGTATTTTTGAAAGGTCCCTTTATATGGTCTCATTATATTGTGACAGATTTGTATGTAGAAATGACCTTTTTAAATGGAATAATGTAATAATAATACCTCTGCTATATTTTACAGTTTAGAAAGAAGAAGTAAAGGAATTGTTCTAATTGATGAGTAAACATAGAGCATATAGTTTCTTAATTACTATTTTCTAAAATTTGGTACAATGAGAAATAAGTAAACAATCAAATACTTCTTTTTTGTTTGTTTACCACTCTGTACTTCCCAATCTAAACAGCTACTAGAATGAGGTAAATTCATTGACCAAATTTTGGCTGATGTTGTAGAGACCAGTGGACTAATGAAGATAAAGTGACATAGAGATTTTTTTAAAAGAATTATTTTATTTCATTTATTATCATCATTATTATTTGTTTAATTTGACCAGAGAGAGTGACAGAGAGGAAGAGAAAGTAGGAAAGCAAGTCTCCAGGTTCAGGACTTGAACCATAGTTGGCCATATGGGAGTCCACTGCCTTATCCACCATGCCACCTGCTGGGCCCGACATAGTTTTTTTTTAAAAAATAATTTATGTTAGTACATTAAAACACTGTCAGACACGATTTTTGCCCCTCAAAATTTTTATTAGAAAAAAAAATGCAAACTTGAAGAAAAGTTGAGAGAACTTATATGTCCTCCACATAAATGCTGCCATTAACATTTTATTGTAGGTTCTTTATCATGTATCTATCTACCTATTCACTTTTATGTCCATTTTTCTCTTTCTTTTTTTTTAATTGCCAGAGGACATGCTCACCAGAGAGAGAGAAGAAGAGAGAGAGGGTGATGGGGGTGTGATCTTCATTCTACCTCCCCCTGGGGCATGATCATAGTGCAGTTTCTTCTTTACTCTTTGATCCTGTATGGATTCTGGGCACATGCGTGTGCACCTGGCTTGTTTTTCAAGCAGCTGCTGTTGGGACTTGAACTACAGTTAGACATGTGGGATCTGATTCCCTTAACCATTAGGTTGTTGAGCCAGCCCACTTTTATATATTAATCCCCCTCTTTTAGGGATCTGGGGTTATATTTCAGAAGACAATAATACATTTCATGGAATTAAGTGATCTCTTTATTGTTTTCTTCTTTTGACATAAATTGTTCACAGTGAGCTACCCAAATGCATATTTGCTAAATTTTGTGTATATTTGTTGAATTTTATATTTATGTTTGTTGAACATTGACAAATACTCATATTATTGTAATTCAGACCCTTATCAAGATCAACTTTCTTGATACATATTTGTCCAAATATTTTTTCCTGTCTTGTCTTTCTTCTTTGAATTCCAATTATACATATGTTGGACCTTTTAATATTGTTTTATGGGTCTTTGAAACTTTGTTCTTTTCTTTTTCTCTCTATTCTTTAGATTGGATGATAGCGATCTATTTTTTTAAGAATTATTTTATTTAACTTTATTTGTCATTTTAAAATTTTATTTTAATTTGACCAGAGAGGGACAGAGAGAGAGAGAAAGTGAGAAAGCAAGCCACCAGGTCCAGAACTCAAACTGCTGTCAGCCATGTGGGAGTCCAGCGCCCTTAACCACCACACCACCTGCTGGCCCCAATAGTGATTTATTTTTGAGTTCACTATCTCCTTCCTTTGTTTCTCCATTCTTATCACCTAAGCACACATTTCTAAATATTATGGTTAATCTTTTTCTGTTTTTGACCTTTATATAAATGAAATGATATATTCAATATATATTCTTTTGTTTATGGATTTTTTTTTCCTTCAGTATATGTTTGTTCAGCTCATTTAATTTGTTGTTAGTAGTTGTAGTTTGTTTTCATTGTGTACCATATCATTGTAGTTTTTTTCCCCTGTATTTTAACTGGCATGATGTACAGTAGTATTTCTGTATATCATACTATAAGGTATTTTATGTAATAAGTATATACGTTCTATATCTATTTTACTATTGATGGACATTGGATTTTTTTTTCTAGTTTGCACTTACTGTGGATAATGGTACTGTATGAACATTCTTACATATATCTCTTGGTGCACATGTGTAAGCACTTCAGTTGTGTATATATCTAGAAGGGCACTGTTGAGCCAAACTTTTTTCACAGTGATTTGATACATTATCACCAGCAGGCTATATGATTGTTTACATTGTTCTACTTCTTGCCAACACTTGATATTGTCGGTCTTTTTTGTTTTAGCCATTCTGGTGAGTGTTGGAATATTTTATTAAGGTTTTTACTTATATTCCTCTCATAACTAATGAAATTGGTAGCCATTCTTTTACATTTCCTGTTTTAGTCTTAAGCCAATTTACATACAGGATTATCTGTCTCTTATTAATTTGTAGGGGTTCCTTATGTATTCTCTATATGAATTCTTTGTCAGATATGTTTGTTGCACATATCTTCTCTGACAGTATGCGTTACCTTCGCATTCTGTTAGTCTTCTGACAAATGGAAATTTTAAATTTAGTTAATATAGTTCAGTGTGTTAAAATATTTTTATGATTATTACTTCCTATATTTGTTATATTTAAAGAGTGCTTCCCTATCCTAAGGTTGTGAAAACTTTCCTGTAAGTTAGCTTAAATATTGAAGCTTTATCAGTTTGCCCTTAGTATTTAATTTAGACCTACAATCCCTATGGAGTTAATTTTTTTTGTGAATATTAATGGTTTGGTAGCATGGAGGCTTATATTTTTTTACATTACTTTAATAAAAAGACAATCCTTTCCCCACTTTTATGCAGTGATACCTTTATATAAATCAACTGTCCATAAAACAGGTATCTCTTCCTGGGTCTCTTCTATTCTGTGCCATTGTTTTCGGTTGTTTTTTGTTTGTTTGTTTGTTTTTAAGTTTGCTATAGTGTGCCAACACTCAATAGGAAGAAAGAGAGGGTGAGAGAGAAAAGGAAAAACCTCCCCTTCCCCAGGGAGTTTGACCACAGCACAATGGGATTTTGGGCATGTACACAAATGTACCCAGGATGCTTTTCAGTGCAGCAATCCTCCAGCCTCCATTGGTTTTGGCCATAGGGTGGGCACTACCACACCCAGCTTCAGCATGCTTTTCGAACTTTTGGGTCCGGGTATCCCAACTGTGCAGTTGGTCGTGTGGGATCCAGCTGCTTTAACTTCCATGGTCCCTACTGGCCCCCAGTTGATCTATTTTTTTCTGTCATTGTGTCAATATTCTTCTATTCTTAATACCCAGTAAAACAAATGTATCACTGGTACCAGCAGATGGCATAATGGTTATGTTGCTGGACTTCCACATGGCTGACTGTGGTTTGAGTCTCAGATCCAGAGGCTTCAAACTCAAGTCAGGTGCTTGTTGTGTGTATGTGCCCAAAATCCTAAAAGGATGGAGGTAAAGGGATTGTGATGTGGTTGGCCCCCTGGGGGCTGATTTCTCACTTTCTGTTTCTCTCTGTCTCTATGGCGAGCACATGTGCCCTATAGTAAAAATCTCTCTTTAAAAAACAAAAAAAGACAGAAGAGAAAAAAAACCCATTGTATCACGTCTGGCTTTCTTTTTAAGTATATAGGTAATTATATTTTCATAAATGCTTTCTATCCATCTGTTTAAAATTTGATTTCCAACTTGATTGTGTTGTGATAAGAAAATATACTATGTGTGATCTCAACTCTTTTATTTTGAAAATTGCTCAGTGTATCCCATCATATGGTCATTTTAAATAAATGTCCTGTGTCATCTTCAAAAATGCATATCTCCAAAAAAAGGTAAAGGTATTCTATATATAAGTGCAAAAATAAGAGGAAACCCAAATAACAAAATACAGAGTTGCCTATAGCAGTGGTCCTCAACCTTTTTAGCACTAGGCGCCAGTTTCATGAAAACAGTTTTTCTGTGGACCAGGGTAGGGGGTTTTGGAATGATTCAAGTGCATTACATTTATTGTGAACTTTATTTTTACTTTTATTTTTATCACAGTCAGAATAATAAGGACTGGTACCAGTCCATGGCCCAGAGGCTAGGAACCCTTGGTCTATAGGGTAAAGAAAAATGCCATAATTTACCAGATTGTTTTGAGAACAGGATTCATAGCTGATCTCTGGCATAATATTTCATGCAGTTAGAATTTCATATATGTGGACTTTTTTTTTTCACATCAAAGGCATGTGATATGTTACTTGAAACAAGCATTTTTTTCCCCTTTGCCTTAAGCATAATAACTGTTGGCTAATGACTCCAAGAAAAGGATGTAAAACTTTAGAAACACTTGCTTTCAGGATCTGCCAGAGCATCCTTTGGAGATCGAAAGGTAGAACTTTCCAGTTTATCTCAGCATGGACCGAGCTATGATATATATAACCCATTCTACATGTATCAGCACATTTCACCTGATTTGAGCCGACGCTTTCCTCTGCGTTCTGAAGCAACTAGACTGTCTGGATCAGGTATGGAAATATATCATGTGCTTTTCCTTTTTGAGTTTCTCTTTAGCACATTTAGATACCAAATCTAAAACCTTTGAAGAAATGGTTATTATTATTAAAAACAATTTTAAAATAAGAAAAAAACAGACTTCATAAGTTTGTGATGAGCATCATGACTTCTTTGTGGTATTGTATATAACATAAAAATGGAAGGATCAATGAATTATGTCTCTTGGTAGTTCAGATTCCATGTTGTTTTTCCTCTTTTGAGAGTTTTGTTTTCAGGTTGTTTTTGTATAGCATATATCTTCTGTATATTGATTCTACAACAGGCATTTTAAAATGTTTTTCTTTCCAGTTCTATTCAGTGAAAAATAATGAATTTAGAAAACCCATGATATAATTATAAATACAAAGGAAATAGAAAATGCTTAAATGATTATAGAACCTTTTGTAGTTTTATATTTCACCTGTATCAATGATAGTTCATTGTATATCTGTTTCTTGAAATTCCCTGTTTTTCAGATTTTTGATTTGTTTAGCTTTCTCAACCACTGAATTTAGCGTGAGATACTAAAAATGACATGTTTCTTTCAGGGCCTTGTGCCCACCACTGAGCTATAATATACAATTGGTATAAAGTGTTTTTTTTTTTTTAACTGAAGATAATACAGTTTAGGAGGGAAATTAGAAATATAGACTAAAAATATAAAAGTACAGGGGATTTAGTATTGATTTTCAAATGTTACATTAAATAGTAGTTGATATTTACACTAGAGTAGAATACTTTCTTACATCCTCTTAGATGATTCTCACATGAAGGATTGGGGAATATAAGTAAAAAAGAGTGAAATTGTCTTGCTTGATATTTGATGTGAAAGTATAAATGTGTTATTTGATTTATATTGATTTCTTTTTCAAACAAAAGTAAAATAATTGAAAAAAATTAAAATTTTTTGGAAGGCTTCATCTTATACATAGAGTTGTATTACTGTAGATTTAGTTCATAGTAATTAAATAAAATTTCAGTGTTTCTTTTTTTCTTTGTTACTATAAAAATAAGTATTATTCTCCTGTCTCTTTGTAGTTTGTGATTTAAGGACCAACAAACTTCCTGGTTCTCCTGGGCTAAGCAAATCTATGTTTGATCTTACAAGTTCATCTCAGCGATTCATCCAGGTAAATTAGTTATAGAAATTTGATTGTATGTGCTAATTTGTTTCCAAATTAAAAATTCAGAAATGCATGAATTAATGTATATTTTATATAGATGTATCTGAAGAATAAATACTTGGTATGTCCCATGTGAATTATTTTAGGAAGCTCTCAGTTGAACACTACAAGGCAGTGGTTTTTTCATTTTAGTTCTTTCTTTTCTTTTTTCTAATGATTTTTTACATCTATCAGCTGGTATGCACTCAGGAAATGCTGAGGTAGCTAGATTTTTTTTTTTTTTTTTTTTTTTAGTTTTTGTTATAGGACATGCACATTCACCAGAAAGAGACAGAGAGAAAGAGAGAGCAAAAGTGAGAAATCACCTCCCAAAGGGGATGAACATGCCACAGTCCCCTTTCTTTCAGTCTCTTCTTAGAGACTGTCTACTCTCTGAGGCAGTTAATAACATGAATATTATTTATTTAATTTTTATTATTGAACGTAAGCTAGTTATTTATTTTTTTGGAAAGGGTTTTGCTGTAAGGCATGTGCGCTCACCAGAAAGGGGATGGCCACGCTGCAATCCCTTCTCCTCTGTTCTCCTCTCTGGATCCTGGGCACACACACACACACACACACACGCACAGCATAAGTTTAAGCCACTGGGTGTGGGAACTGAACTGCTGTTGACTACATGGGAGTCCAGCGACATAGCCATTATGCCAACTGCTGGTCCCAGTTTTTCAATATGTTTTAAAGTGTTGTGTTTTTTTTGTTTAGAGAGATTTTTGCTATAGAGCACGTGTGCTCACCAGAGAGAGAGACTGACAGACAGAAAGTGAGAAATCACCCCCCAGGGGGAATGGCTACACTGCAATTCCTTCTTCTCCAGTCTCCTCTCAGGATTTTGGGCATGCACACAAAATAAAAAGACATAGCACATGCATACCTATAGCTGATATTAAAAGCACTGTGAGATATGACTTTTATACATGAAACTTCTTTCCATTTCACTGTATATACGTATATCTTATAAAATGAAAATATATTTTATTTATTATTTTTAGAGAGGTTTTTGCTATATGGCACATGGGCTCGCTGGAGACACAGAGACTGAGAGAGAAAGTGAGAAACCACACCCCTGGGGGGATTGGCCATGCTACATTCCCTTCTCTATCATTCTTCTCTCAGTATTTTGGGCATACACGTTCACGTGCCTACTGTGAGTTTCAAACCACTGATTTGAATGATTGAACCATGGTTGACCATTTGGGAGTCCAACTCCTTACCCACTATGCTACCTGTTGCCCCCAAAATACATTTTAAACAAGCCTTAATAATTCTCGTTTGAATTTATGTTATAAACTTAATTCTTCCTTTTTTTAAAAAAAAAAAATAATAATTTTCCAGCAGGCACATGCACTGGATGGGGAGAGACGTGGTGGTGGTGGTGGTGGTGAGAGAATGAGAAAGCACCCTCCATTGGGGACATTCATGCCACAGTGCCTTCTCCATTTCTCCCTCCATTTGGGATTTTGGGCACACACACCCAATGTGTTTTTCAGGCCACTGAATCTTAGATTTGAACCACTGAATCAGCCATGTGGGATCCAGTGGTCTCTAACACAATGCCACTGGCTGGCCCTAGACTTAATTCTTTTTTTTTTTTTTAAGAGAAATTTTTTGCTATAATGCGAATGTACTTGCCAGAGAGACTGAGAGAGACAGAGACAGAAAGCAAGAAATCACCCCCTAGCGGGGATGGACTTGCCACAATCCCTTCTCCATTTTCCTCTCAGAATTTTGGGCATGTATGCACACATGCCTGGCATGAGTTTTAAGCCACTGGGACTGGGACTCAAACTGTTGTCAACTATGTTGGAGTGCAGCAACACAGCCATCACACTGTCTGTTAGTCCCTAGACTTAATTCTTTATAGCAACAGTTTTTCAGCTTGCAACAGAATTGTTTGTAGAGCTTGTTAAAATACAGATTGTGGGGCCAGCAGATGATGTGGTTAAGGCACTGGATTCCACATGGCTGACTGGTTTGAGTCTCAGATCAGCAGCTTGAAAATCATGCTGGGCATGTGTGCATGCATGCCCCAAATCCTGAGAGATGACTAGAGACTATGCAGTAGGGCTTGATTCTGTGTTTCTAAAGTTTCCCAAATGATACTGGTTATGCTGGTCTAGAGGGACCAGGCTTTGATAACTGCTGCTTTATAGGGCTATAGGTAACAGGGTAATTGCAAATATATTCTGATTTTTATTAATGTTTTTAAGTATGAAATTTAAGCTGTTTCTCCTTATTACAAAACCAAACCAAAAACAGCAAAGGCTTTCCAATATATAATCTAGTAAGATATTTAAGATTTTCCTGATAACACATAAAAAATATTTTTTTCTCCCCTTTACTATTTAAAAGTGGGAAACTGGGACCAGCAGTTAACACAATGGCTATGTCATGTCACTGGACTCCCACTTAGTTGACTGCGGTTCGAGTCCTGGACCCAGTGGCTTAAACTCACGCCAGGAATGTGTGCATGCGTGTCCAAGATCCCGAGAGGAGAATGGAGGAGAAGGGATTGCGGTGTGCCATCCCCCCTGGGAGGGTGATTTCTCGCTTTCTAACTCTCTCTGTGGTGTTCCTGGGGGACCCCCCCCCCCTTAAACAAAAACCCCCCAAAAAAAAAAAAAAAAAAGTAAATAAACTGGGAAACTTTGGCTATAGCATTGTGAAGATGATAAATATAGGGGCCAGTAGTTAGTGTAGTCAACCACGGTTCGAGTCTGGGACCCGGTGGCTTAAACTCATGCTGGGCGCATGTACATGTGTGCCCAAGATCCTAAGAAGAGAAAGGAGGAGAAGGGATTGCAGCAAGGCCATCCCCCCCGGGGGGTGATTTCTCACTTTCTAACTCTCTGTCTCTTTCAGTCTTTCTGGTGAGTGCATGCACTCTATAGCAAAAACCTCTCCAAAAAAAAAAAAAAAAAAGATAAATATACTTTTTGATACTTAGGTGATTATTGGGGCATAATTATAGAATTCTTAAAGTTTGGTATGTAATTTCTTACTAAAAAAGAATTTTATTTGTAGAGACATGATTCATTGTCCAGTGTACCCAGTAGTTCTTCTTCAAGGAAGAATTCTCAGGGAAGTAACAGAAGCCTAGGTAAGGAATGAAATATTTTATTCTTATACTCCTAAGGAAATTATTTCCATTCAATAGTAATTTCAAAGTTTATATGATAAGCTAAAGAACAATTCCAGATGATCATAGGTGTGTTGATTGTATCTATGTTGACAGTGTTATTGACATATGAATACTTGATCAGATGGTCCATTTTTCAGTGTTCAGGCATAAATGCCTTTTTTTTTTTAAGAGAGATTTTTGCTGTAGGGCACATGCAGTCACTGGAGACACAGTGAGAAACAGGGAGATACAAAGTGAGAAATTACCCTCTAGTGGGGATGGCCACGCCACAGTCTCTTCTCCTCCACTCTCCTCTTGAGATTCTAGGCACGCACACACTTGCACCCAGAGCGAGTTTTAAGCTGCTATGTCTGGGACACATACCATGGTCAACTACATAGGAGTTAAGTGACTTACCATTTTGCCATCTACTGGTCCCTCAAAAAATTTTTTTTAAGGAGACTTTATTTATTTATTTGCAATATGGTGTGTGTTTGCCAGAGACAGAAAGTGAGGAATCACCTCCGAGGGAGTGGTAAGGCCACTTGAAGTCTTCTCCTCTATTCTCCTCTTGCTTGGGATTTGCATGCCTGGCTTAAGTTTCAGGCTGCTGGGTCTAGAACTCAAACCACAGTCAGCCATATGGGAGTCCAGCAACGTAAACATTATGCCATCTACTGGTCCCCATAAACTCATCTTTTAAAAAAGTGAAATAGTTAAAAGTCTTCTGGTTTTGAAGTTTATTAGTGAAGAAAATTCTGGAAGGATACAGTGTTAAGGCTATATGAATGTTGTTTAGAAAGGTTTTTCTTAGTTTTAACTTAAATCTCTCACTCTGCAACTGAGTTTTTAAGCCATGTTCTTTTTTTTAAAAAAAAGAATTTATTTATTTAATTTTATTTGTTATTATTATTTAAAAATTGACCCTAGAGAGAGAGAGAGAGAAAGGAAAGTGAGAAAGCAAGCCTCTAAGGACTCAAACTGCAGTTGGCCATGTGGGAGTCCAGTGCTCCAACCACCATACCACCTGACAACCCTAGCCATGTGCTTCTTTGTGAAATATCTTTCTCTTGGTGCTTTAATAAAACATTGCAATGTGATATTCGTCTTGTTAAATTGGGAACTTTAAAAAAATTGTAATATTTTTCAGTTTCTTCTTATCATTTGATAGTATCAAAGTTTTATTAGAAGGAAGACATGGTATTTGAAACATCTTTGTCCTTTTACCATTTAGATACAATTACTTTGTCAGGAGATGAAAGAGATTTTGGGAGATTGAATGTGAAATTGTTTTATAATTCTTCAGTAGAGCAGATCTGGATCACGGTTTTACAGGTAAATAGTACAGTTAATAAAATATTTTCTTCTGAAATTAAATATTTAGACATTATATTTATATTTATGTAAATAGTAATTGCCCTCTTCTGGGGGAATGAGCCAGTTTTGTCTGAAATTTAGGATTCGGTAGTATTTTTCAGAAAATAATATTTATTAAAGGATTTAGGAAAATTAACCTGTACTATGGTAGATTTGTGCTTTTAACCTCAGAAGAAAATTAATATGGGATCTAGAATATTAAATATCAACATTATTTTAATGTAGATGAAATATAGGGTCTTAGCAGACTAAAATTTATTTTTATAGTTTTTGTCTGAAGTCACAAAATCAAGAAATATCAAATATATGTATTGTCATAATCATTTGTAAAATTCGAACTGAATTTAATATTTTTTTTAGTGCAGAGATTTAAGTTGGCCCTCTAGTTATGGAGACACTCCAACTATTTCTATAAAAGGAATATTAACATTGCCCAAACCAGTCCATTTCAAGTCTTCTGCCAAGGAAGTTTCCCATGTAAGTAGCTTTTCAATTTTAATTTCTTTTCTCTTTTTCTCATGTTTGTTACTTTTATCTAGGTAACAACTTGGAATAAGAAAGTGTTTTATTTTGGGGAAATTACAAATTATATACTCTTTGTTTTTTATTTTTCATGTTTTTTAAAGCTTATTTATTTACTTTTCCCATGAGAGAGACACACAGAATGAGTGCCAGAGAGACAGGCATCCCCGATAGGCTCTCCATGCCATGATCTACCTCCAGTGGTTAGCCAGCCATGGGCTTGCATACCGTGAGTACCTACTGTACTGAGAAAAATTCCAGGACTCGACTCCAGGACCTTTCCCGTAATTCCAGCTGTATTACCAGCTGTGCCACTGCCTGGCTAACTTTGTTTTTAAAGACAATTTGAGTCTCAAAAATATTTGATATTTTGTTTCTAATATTAAGATGCATTTAAAAAGAAAATCTGAGTCACTAAAGTATATAGAAGATAAATGCTATCTATATAAAAGAAAAATAAATTTCTATGTTTTTGTTTTCTCTTCCCATCCAACCAATTCTGACTTTGAAAAAGGATTGCATGATTACAATTTATTTCTTCCAAGTAATATAACTGGAAAACTTCTGATACTGAGTTTAGTTTTATAGATTCTAGATTTCATAGTAACTTAAATACATTGTCTTGTTTGTCTTTTTTTTTTTTTTTGGAGAGATTTTTCGCTATAGGGTGCGTGCGCTCGCCAGACAGAGAGAGACATAGAGACAGAAAGCGAGAAATCACCCCCCAGGGGAGATGGTCACACGGCAATCCCTTCTCCTCCATTCTCTCGGGATCTTGGGCACGCATGCACACGCGCCCGGCATGAGTTCTAAGCCACCGGGTCCGGGACGTGAACCGTGGTTGACTACGTGGGAGTCCAGCGACATAGCCATTACGCTAACTGCTGGTTCCCTTGTTTGTCTTTTGATATATGTTAAAAAGTTAGTATTTTTCTATGAAATAAGAAAATCCCGGGCCAGATGGTGGTGCAAGGGAAAACACAACACTTTGTGAGACTGACCTTCATGAAAAGATTTCGATTTCACTCCAGAAATCTCCCTGAATTATACTAGGGATGTGTGTGCCCGTGATCCAGGCTGGTTGAAACTGAGGGTGGATCATGGCATCAAAACCCTATTGGGGGTGCTTGTCTCTCAGTCTTTTTTTTCCTTTTGTTCATGGAAGACTAAACCTTAAAAAAAAAAGTACTACTTAAAAATAAGAGAATTCAAATGACTAATAAACACATAAAAAATTGCTGTGAGTCATAGAAACATAAACTTAGGGGGTCAGCAGATGGTGTGGTGATTGGAGTGCTGGACTCCCACATGACTGACTGCAGTTCGAGTCTCAGACTTGGTGGCTTACTTTTTCACTTTCTCTCTGGTGAGTGAATGTGCCTTGTAAACTGTAATAATAAGTAAAATTAAATAATTCTTTACAAAAAGAGAGAGAAACACAAATTTAGGACCAACCCTGTAGTGTAGCAGTTAGTCATTACACAGAGGAAATAGGATCCCACATGACTGACCTAGTTTTGAGTCCTGGCCCCATCATGAAGCTGAGAGGAAAAAGGATTGCCGCATGACTGGGCTCTTTTGGGAGAGTCTCTCTCTCTCTCTCTCTCTCTCTGTCTCTCATGCATACTGCATATGCACCCTCTAGCAAAAATAATAAATAAATAAAATAAAAAGAGTCACCATTTAGGCACAGTATTGAAGATATCTGTTAGTTGCCCAGATAATTTGCCTTTTTAAAAGGCAAAAAACACAAAACAAAATAAGAACTTCTTCACAAAAGGATGAATTAAAGATGGAAAGAAGAAAAGAAGGAAGCAAAGAACCTTCTGGTGTCAAGAAGATATAAACCCATGGTAAGCCAAGAGTTTGAAAGTATTCAACTAACAAAAAGAACATTTGAAAGTATTCTTGGGCCAGCCCCATAGCTCAGCTGTTAGGTGATGTGCAGAGGAAGTGTATTCCACATGGCTTACCAAGGTTCAAGTGCCCATGATCCTGACAAGATGGAGAATTGGAGGAAAATGAATTACAGCATGACTAGGCTCTGTTGGATGGGGGGTGCTTTCTTTCTCTTTCTGTCTCAGGCACATGCACATACTCTGTCATTAAAAAGGAAAAAAAAGTGAAAGATAATATTAGCTTAGAAAAACAGACTCACTGTCTGAGCTGAGCACTTAATGAGAAAAGGTAGAACTTTAAACTCATATTTTCCTTTATGATGGAGTTTGTTTTTCAGATTGGAAAGAGGGAAATAAAAGTAACCAAAAGAGAAGTTGAAGCCCAAGCTAGATGGGAATAACAGTAGACAAAGAATAGTGCCTTTTTTATTTTTAGAATTATTTAATTTTCTTTATTATTATTATTATTTTTTAATTTGGTATAGAGCACATGCACTCACCAGAGAAAAGGGGGAGGGGGCAGTGAGAAAGCAAGCTACCAGTACCAGGTCTGGGACTCAAATTGCGGTAAGCCTTGTGGGAGTCCAGCACCTCAACTGCCATGTCATCTGCTAGCTCTGAAATACTAGCTCTCTTAAAGAAATAATTGAAGTCTCTAGTGAACAAATTAGATTTGGGGCATTGAGGATATTTGCATATTTCTTGAACCACCCTCATTAATTGTTGAAGAATAATGAACAGCAGGGAAGATACTCCAGAACTAAAGATGGAAAAAACACCTTATTTTCAGAAAGGTAAAAAGCCATATTGGTGAGCTTGGTGTTGATATTGACCTAAATTGCTGACTAAGTGCTTAAAAGAATGATTTATGAAATCAAAATGATAGAATCCAAGATAAACTCTGGAAAAAAACAAGTTATAGATTGTTTCATTTTTCATTTATATTTAAAAATGTAATTTTTATTGTTGTAAACAAATTCTTTCCTAGATATAAAATAAAATATTACTTTGCATTAGTGTATCAGCCTTCTTTCTAGTCCTTTAATTTATATATTTTATGCTTTCTTGTTTCCATTGAAGGTTATTGAATTTATGGAAACTTTTGTATTTGCTATTAAACTCCAAAACCTACAAACAGTCAGGCTTGTATTTAAGATTCAGACCCAGACTCCCAGAAAGAAAACCATTGGAGAATGTTCACTATCGCTCAGAACTCTAAGCACACAGGAAATGGATTACTCGTTGGATATAACACCACCTTCAAAAATTTCTGTAAGTGATAATAATAAGCAACGTATATTTTAAGAATTATTTAGAGGACTCATTTTGTTTTTTGGAGAATAACTTGAATACTATAGAGTATTGGAGTATTAAGAAGACTCTTGAGAAACAATAATAATGAAAATGTCATTTAAAAATGATATTTGGGCCAGCAGGTAGTGTGTTGGTTAAGGCACTGGATCTCACATGGCCAACTCTGTGAATTGAGTCCCAAACCTGGTGGCTTGAAATACACACCAGGCACATGTGCATGTATGTCCAGAATGCCAAGGGGAGAATAGAGAAGGGACTGTGGTGTGGCCATCTTCTAGGAGGTGGGATGGTGGGGAGGGGAGGTGATTGCTCAGCTTCTATCTCTGTCTCTTTCTGTCTCTCCAGTGAGCACACGTGCTCTATAGCAAAATATCTGGGGGAAAATTTTATATATTTATTTAAACTGTTGTCAGAAGGTTAACAGAAATCTTTTTCTTTCTTTGGAAAATAACTTCAAGGTTACCTTTTACTAGCACATTTTTAATTTTTCATACTTAAGGGGAAATAACTTGGAAGTATGAATAGCTTTAAATTTTTTTTTTTTTTAGTTTTTTTTGAGAATTTTTGCTGTAGGACATGTGTGCTCACTGGGGAGAGAGTGAGAGACAGTAAGAAATCATTCCCCCCCAGGGGGGATGATACACTGCAGTCCCTTCTCCTCCATTCTCCTCTCAGGATTTTGGGCAACACACATGCACCCCGGGTGCATTTCAAGCCTTTGGGTCTGGGATTCAAACCTCAGTTGACCACATGGGAGTCCAGCGCGTTAACGCTATACCACCTGCTGGTCCTTGTTTTCTTGATAGTTTTTTAAGTAGTTGCTAACTTAGGAAAAACAAGAAAGATTTATAACTCCAAACTCAATCAGAAATTTCCCTTAATTAGGTTTGGAAAGTTGTCTTGATTTCATGAATAAGCTGTATATCTGCTCACAAACTGGTTAGAATGTAAGTTTTTATCTGTTGTTTTTTAAATGTGACTACTTATAGTACTGGTTGATTTTTGGGACCTAATACTGCTTCTCTCACTTAGCCAGCTGAACATATTCTTTTTCTTTTTTCTTTTTTTTTTTTTTTTTTTT